ATACAATAATTTTCATCAACTGAATAAAAAAACTAAGGTAATAAAGGATGTCCTTTAGACCGAGGGAGGAAAGATCCAGAATTAGCCCACAGCTTCAGCTACTACAGCTAGAAACCACTGATTATGGCACAAATCTTGATGTCATGATGGACTCAGACCTGAACCTTCAGAGGCACATAAAGGCAGTTAGTCAGCCTTTTATCTCCTGAAGAACATCTCCTGGATTAAAGGACTAATGTCCAAGCAAAGTTAAAAAGCCATTTGTTTAGAACTGCCTTTGTTCAAGTTAAACTGTTAACCAAGGTATTATTAGTTTAAGATTGTGCTTCAACTGCTCTATTTGGTCTTCTACTTGCTTTTATCTTTTCTTTACTTGCTTTTATTTTCCCTCAGTTTTACTCTTTAATTTCTGTAAAGCCCTTTGAATCACCTTTTGACTGAATTGTGCTACACAAATAAACTAGAAATTTAAAGTGAAGTTACTTTGCTGTTTCATCAAAAGACAAAAAGTGTATTTAATTGAACTCAACAGACAGCAAAACATTACTATTGTACCTGCCATAGCTGATAAAAATAAACCAAAGATAAATCATCACTGGTTTCATGTATCTCTACAGTACGTTCTCTTTCCTGCTACAGTAAGTAAGCTGTTTTCTGTAGTTGGTATCTATTTGTTTTAGAAATCTAAAACTGATTATGAGGCTATTTCTAAATGCATTACTCTTTTAAAGAAGCCACCCTTTCATAACTTAAAAACCTTATAAATCGAGTTTGAAAAACATGTTCTGCGAAAGTAGGATTATTCTTTGATCAGTTTTAACTCCTGAGGTAAATGGGATGCAGCAGACAGATTGGAAAAGCCCACTAAGAACTACACCTCTGTTTTGGATGTAGATAGGTGTAGTATATAGACCACCTGGAATGTTTGGAATGTAAACCATGCCCCATTATCTAGGTACAGGGTTTATGTTGCAGCGTATGCATTGGTTACAATAAGGACATGTCATGGGGAAACAACCCATTCACAATGTTAAGTAAAGCTCTGTGTTCTCACCTTGCAGCTTTCTCTCTCTGGTTCATTTCCTGAGAAGATATCACCTGGGACAAACTCTTTAAATAACACTTCTAATGTATATGTAGGTTGATTGTCCCAGATGGAACAGCAGAAAAAGACGAAGATATGTATAAGGCAAACTACTGAAAATGTTGCCCTAATAAACATCTCTTGGAATACATCTCTGGGGGTTTATAAACAGATATAAAGTGACAACTTTGCTGTCATCCTTTAAAACCTAAAGTTAGTAAAGTTGTACTCCGTACCCTGACTAAACTTAACCATCATTTTAACTAAGGCCCCCCAATATTGATTGTAATATCGTACAGAAGTTCAGATACTGAAGACGACGCCATTTAGTGCATCATCCTGCACCAGGTCTAAATCTGTTACTGCACTCCCTGACTTAGGAAACTCTGTATCCGTTTCTTTTCTGATCAGTTGGAGTAGACTAAAAAAGTCTCGAGCCTGTTTAATATTCTGTCACTTGAAATTATTCATCTTTGCTTATCTATGTTTAGGTGTTACAGAGAAAGTTACAGTCTTATAAACATACTAAAGTATAATTGACACTCAGAGTGCTGTCTTTAGATTTGATCCTAGTATTGGTATTTATTATTTAAAGCAATCTTTAAAATCATTGGATTTCCCAATTCTTTAGCTCAGTATCATTACAAATAAAGATGTTTGATTACCAACATTAGAATGATGATGTGTCATCAAGAAGCTCCGTTTAGCAACAGTTTGACAGCAAAAAACATTTGGTTTGTTGATAATAATATAAGAACACTTGATTAAGGTAATTATTAAACTTTTTTTATTTATTTTTTTATTTAACCTGGGGAAAAAAATCCCATTAAGATTAAAAACTTGTTTTTTAAGGGAGTTCTGGCCAAGAGGCAGCAAAGTTACATAGTCTTATACAATGTTTTTGCTATTTTTTCCCCAATACAGTTTCGTTTATGTGTTTATTTTTATTTATTTAAAGTTAGAATATAACCTTCTTTAAATGTAATATTGAATTTGATTCTATTTGTTGGGGTTGTGCTTCCAAAAGCGCATAAATACATCTTCTACTGTTTTATTTAAATTACTTATTAAACTATACATTTCAACAGTTGGAAATATATTTATCATGTCAGGGGCAGAAGACAAGCCATAAACTATTTGTTTTCACATCTACCAGCTTTCTGCTGTGTTCATTTCTTGTCCTGATCGTAAAGAGTACGTTTCACATACAGTACTGGTTTGTTGCCAATTATACAACTCAGTAATCAAAAAGTGTCAAGGAAAGCTTATTTGTTCTTCCTATAAAATGCAGTGATTGCTGACTCCTCTAGCACTCAGTCCAGAATAACTTCTTACCATCATTAGTTTTCCTTATTCATGATAATTGGCTTGATGAGCAACAGCCTTGCAACTAATCTCTGTCTCATGGTTTCAATGTGGAATTCAAGTTGCTCACTTGATGGGGATTTCAAAGGTGAACTATCTCTGCAAGGATATTTCTAATGGGCAGCTGCTTTAAGCTTGTGTCCACTTTTTGGAAGGTTTTTCAAATTATTTTGTTTTGAGCATTTATTCACTCAATTACCACCATTATGTGCACTTTAAAATAGTGTCTAAGGGTATATACAGGCATACTATCAGGAAAAAAAATCTCACTTATTGTGTTGGATGACCGTAGGCGTTGATTAAATGGTGTATACTGTTTGGAATATTTTTGATTTCCAGGAAACTCATAGTAAGTGCTCACCTTCACATGGATTTTATTTGTCTTTGAAAGTCATAAATTGTGTGTTCGATATTGATGGAAAAAAGAACAAAACAAGTAATTAAAAAAAAAGCCTCAAAACAGCAGAAAGAGCTCTTAGAATGAAATGCTGTATTACAAAAGTTGAAGCTTCTTGTTCAACCACAGACATATATCCAGCATGGCTTCCAACCAGGTTGCATTAAAAAAGCTTTTTTGAATGTCTTATGGTTTATATTACAATGAATTAGCAAAAATAATTCTACTCTACCACCTTTTAAAATTTAAAATTTTTAATTTTATAATGGAGACGAGTGATTTTAGTTTCCCCATTACAAACACATGTATTTTATGTGATAGAACTGCACAAACTGATGCATAAGCGTAAATTTGAAGAAAAAGGACATAGAAGGTTTTTAAAATTTTAATCCCCAAAATATCAAAAAAAAAATGTGGTCTGGTTTTATCTTTGTCCTTACTTTTATGTCCCGAAAAATTAGTCTAGACCAACAGATTTCTTCCACAAGTCACATTATTTTATGTTCATAGTCTTTCTAACTAATAAATCCAGCTAATCTGTGGAGGCTTTAGATTTCTTTAGATAATACTGAACAAGCAGCACCAAAAAGTTAAGATATAAAACAACTTCCCAATCTTTAAAAAAAAAAAACAACTTTAACGTGCATACCAGAGAACAAAGGAAGCAAGTGTTTGTTTTGGATCACATATTATTGTGTTTAATAGGACTGGAGACACAGTGGTGGCGGCATCATGATGTGGGATGCTTTAATTTCAGTAAAGACATGAAAGCTAGTCAGATTTCACTGGAAAATGGACGAAGCTGAACTACAGGGTGATCCTGGAGGAAAACTTGTTGGGGGAAGCAGCAGACTGGATATGAGTGGAGTTACAATCCAGCAGAAGAGTGATTGCAAACATTCAAGCAGAGTTACAATCAGGAGCCAAAAAAAAAGCTTAGATCTAAATCCAATTGGAAATATGTTGCACAACTTCAAATAATATCTTAGTTATTTGCCTCAGGGAGCACGCTTTAATGGACAAAATATCTTTTTTTTTTTTTTTTTTTTTACATGCAAAGCTGCTGAGGAGACATCCTAAAATAATTACTCTTATAGTTAAACCACAAAGTTCTCCTGCAAAATAATGACTTTGCAACACAGTTACAGGGATAGAAAAGATTGAAAGCCATGCTTTTTCTTTCGCTTTATTAATATGTCAGTTTGTGATGGTCTGTCACATGAAATCCCAGTAAAATATGTTACATTTTGTACTTAATATGCAGAAAAAGGTGTAAATACTTTTATAAGGCACTGTAAAATAGAATGTACATACAATTTACATCTACATTTAAACTTTCCTCACAAGTATTTAATTGGATTTGTACCAGATGGATAAGAATTTCTTTAAGAAAATCTTTTTTTTTATTAAGACTTTACTGATTGAAAGTCTGAAGTTCATAGATTTAAAAAAAAAAGTGCTTCTCTAATGAGCGTTTTAAATGATTTCACTAATGTAAAGGGCTGATTTTTTCTTTCTTTCACATTTTTATATTTTATATTAAAGTAACTGATTGTCTTTTATTGTAATAAACGACAGAGAGGGTAGGATATGCCAAGGTTTCTTAAACAATGTTGAAAAATATTCTTAATACTTGAAACATATAGAATCATGTTTTTGTCTTCTAAGCCCCAAGTTTGACATATCTTAAATTAATTCTTATAGTCATTAATTTAACATTTTGACATAATTTGAACTATTCAGAAACTGATGTAATTGATAGAATTCATGGTCAGAATTGGGACACACATTCACTTTGGCCTTTTTCTTCTCTTCTTTTGTTTGGGTGTGTGTGTGTGTGTGTGTGTGTGTGTGTGTGTGCTTGTATTGCCGGTGTACACACCATGTTCTTATCTCCATTGGGTTTCTTGTGCATGTTGTGGCTGCTATATATGCTGCTGTGCGGGTGCTCCTCCATGTATTTAAATGTTTGGGGATGGGGTTTTTTTTGTCTTTGCTTTTACTTTTTTAATTACTTGTATGATAAATTTGCATCTTGTGCTTTTCTGTTCTTCAATTTTGCACAAACGCATGTCTGTGAACACATTTGTATGTTCTCCTTGGTGTGTTCTCACGCTTGTGTGGGTGTGTGCGTGCCTGCGTGTGTTTGTAAAGGAGAGGTCCGAGGAAGAAGGGGGGATGACATGCATGTGTCCAGCCTGCTAACATCCCTGACGACTCGCACGCTAACAGACTGCCCACCCTCACGGCATGGCGGATGTCCTGGTAAATCTACTGCTCCTCTTTCTCTTTTCTTGCTCCTTTTTTTTTTTCAAATTAGTTTTTCTACTACTCAGTTTAACCTGAGGGTAGAGCTGCATTTTTAGTAAAAGAGTTTGGCAACTTCACAGCATAATGAAAAAATAAGTAATTGTGACATAATAGCTGCACGTATGCATTCCAAAAAAGTAAAAAAAAAATCCACTGGAATTTGTTTCCAAGTTTGAAGACGTTTCGCTTCCCATCCAGGAAGCTTTTTCAATTCAAAATATCAGAATTAGCTTTTAGTTTGAGGCTTAATAGAGTGGACCAAAACCAAGCCTTTTTTGGCTTAGAAACTTTTTTGGAATGAATATGACCTGGATGACTGAGAATCTTTACCAGCAGTTGCATTTATGATACCAAGTCTTTTTTTTATTTTGTTTGCTTTATACTATCAAAGTTATTGTGAGCTTGTACATCTGGTAAATGTAAAGCTAAATGCATCAAGTGAAATAGAAGTCTAAACAAAGTTTTAATGCAGATCTTTTGACATTTGATATCCAAACCAAGTATTGCATGCAAGCAGTCCCCAGCCATTGCGACACACTTTAGATCTTAGATTGCTAATTGATATATTGTGCAGCGTTCCACAAGTACAAACCAAATCATAAAGTACCCTACATAAGCAGAGAACAAATAAATGCTGTTGGTTACCTAGAAAGCATCACTTAGGCCCAATCCCAATGCACCCCATATTTTCAACCATTAGCCCTCACACACTACCAACACACCCCGGAACTAAAGCCAGTAGAGTTGGAGCTTTGTGGTCTTCCCTAGGATTGGGACACCCCTCATTGCATATACATTATAGTACATAAATGACTGCGTATTTACTGTTAGTATGCACTTAGATTTAAAAAAGCATGATAAGTCCTTGATATGATTAGTATCTGGCAGGGAAAGCCTATAGCAGGCTTCTCCGATCTATCATTCTGCTTCCCAACTCTCCTTCTGAGCTAGCACTGGCTAGCCGCTAAGTTCTCTCCTCACTCTGGTACCTTGATTCTCTGGCGGGTTTCTCTAATCTCCCACCATGGCTCCAGAAAAGGGCACCTCTGACAGCCTCTTTCTGTGCCCTCTCAGTCGGTATCATACTGATTTCACATTGTCCCTGTCTGAGCTCAAAAACACTGCTCCACCCGGCCGAATCAGGTGAACACAGAGCAGCAATGCCAACGGCTTTGTTTGTCTTTCAAAAGTGGAAAGTCACTCCTTAATGTTTGCAGTAAAAAAAACTGTTTGCTCTTCCCTGGAAAGTCACCATCTCAAATATATATCAATTTTTAGGCTAGATTTATACCCCCTACCAGAGTCCTGCATGGGTCAGATTTTTTTCAAACTGCATCTGCCCAAACCCATTGAGTTCAGAACCAAGACCCGAGCTGTTACCCACAATTATCCCTATTTAAAACCTGGGACTGCACAGACCCGTAAATAATAAAGTTCGATCCGACCCGTAATCACAAAGTGAAAACATAAATAATACGTTTCATGCATGCTCTGCTTCTCTGTATGATACCTGCCCGCATTTTGTGCATATATACCCGTGACTTCAACATGCAAAGAGGTTTGGTTTTATTAGGACACAACTACTCTCACGGGGCACAATTTGGGCATGGTAGGGCTAGAGGTTGTATTGGGATTGGGTCTTAAAGAGGCATGATAGTTTTCAACTGCTTGTTCAGTTTTTATTTTCATTTTTACTTTTCTCACTTTACCTGGAGTTGCCATCGGTACCTGAGTTGAGCTGGATGTCGGTCACTTCTGAGTATCCACAAATTCCATCTAGTATGTAATGCTTCCATTTTTTGCAAAGTTGGAACCATTCAACATCCGCTTGATGTCACATCCTCCGAACTGACCCAAAGCACATTAAGGAAAATAGGCTACAGGTTTATAGATGCATTGGGGTTGAACTACTGAGGTGTCAGTCTGCTCATCAGACAAAGTTTTATTCATAAAGGGTCAAATAAAAAGGCTATTTTAAAGATATTTTTCAGTAAAAACTGACAAAATGCCTCTTTAAAAGGGATTCAAAAATAGACCAATCCTTTCGACTTGGCAACATGAAATTAGTTGGAACTCCCAGTAAAGCTGCAAGATCTAGAATTTGTACTTGGATACCAGCTTGTTTTGTTTGATTTATGTTTTTTAAGTGCCATGCATTTTGGTGCCTTGCCCACACTGGCTTATAAGCGTCCATACAAAAATCAAAACAGGACACGCTGGCCTTCTAACGAGCATAGGCTCCATGTAAATATCATTGTTTTGTTTTTTTTGTTTTTTTATTCAAACGGGATACACCACTTGCTGTCTTCTTTCTAAAGCTTTAAATTAAATTTAAAAAATGTATCCATACATCTACCTCAAGATGTCTTTAAATAACTAAAACACAACTGGGTTACCTCTTTATATACACTCAAAGTCTTAAATCAGAGTAAAAATGACAGTAAAGAAAAAAATTACCTCGTCTGTCACCACATTAAGTTTCCAGAAAAAACAAACTCTCCTCTTTAGGAATAATTTTTGCAAGATTATACAGCAGGGTTAAAGTAGAAATGTTTGCTTAACTTCAGTCCTTTGACTTTCCTGACAGGATTTGTTCTTCTCAATTGATTTTCCTTTTTACACACTTTTCCAGAAAAGGAACAATCAGATCATTTTAAAGAGAGATTTTAAATTTTAAACAATAACTTAATTGACCAGTTTTAGCATATCCACCCCTTCTAGCAGATGAAGGTTTACATCGATAAAAATATGCAGTTTAGGGTTTTTGGTTAAACAAGGGTAGTAAGGTAGAAATCTAACACTTGGTCATATTTGTGGAGAAACCTTCCTACGTGTTTCACGGATTTTAGAGCTTTACTTTAGCATGAAGATAAGGGAGTTCAGTCATTTTTCTTTGCTTATAAAAAAAAAGATCAACAAGTCTAGACTCGACTCAATGATACCGTTTTTTGAGTTAGAGAAACCTGGAATGTAAAAACTGATTTCTCTTTTTTTTTCTTCTTTTGCTGATTTGCTTTTATTGATGCAAACAAAGCTTAAAAAATCAGCCCCTTCCATGTTGGCTGACAGGGTTGGGCATGTGGGTTTGTGTGTGTGTTTCTGTGGACACCCAGTCTGATTCATCAAGTTTCGTGAAGAAATCAAGAAGCCCCGTGTGTCACAATACCTCTTGACTGTTTCCTGCCTCAGTGTTTCCATCCCTCATTTTTTTCTGTTGCTTTGGGCCGCCTCTCATCTCTTGCTTCTCCGTTGGAGTGAAGACATGTCGCCTGCGAGATGGTGAAAGAAAGAGCAGAGAACAAAAGAGAGACGAATCGGTTCTGTCATTCAGTAAACCCGCGTTGGTCCAGGCTTGTATCATCTCATCTCTGGTGAGCGTTGCTTCTATATAGCATCTATTTCTGGTGACTACTGCTCAACAGATGATGAGTTGTTGCACAGATGATATAGAAAACTGCTGTCAGTAGGTGGCTTTGTTAGTAAATTTAAACTAAGAACGCCTCTGTAGTTATTTCTAAAAAAAAGTCACCTGGATTTTTTAACCAGAGTATTTAAGATAACTTTTGTTTCCAACTTTTTTGCTTCTAAGAAAACTATACATTTTTGCAGGAAATGCAGTCCTGATTTTTGCAGCTGATAAAATCAGAATAACTCACCACATGTGACATACTATACATGTGGATCAGCTACAGATTCTGTCTGCTTGATTCTCAGTGGAGTCAAAGCTTTCACATTTTTTATTTTATTTTATTTGCAGTGTTGTTTTTTGATGTTGTTTTTTAATCAGAAGAATGATGGCTTGTGCATTACAACATTGTTCTGTTTACTTTTTGTGTTTTTCATATTAAAGCTGATGATTTCCATCCAGGAAATGACCACCAGATTGTGTAACCTCAACTTCCTATCACCAGCTCTGAAGGCAAAGGATTTTTTTTTTTCTAAAAAGCTTCTTTAGATAGACAAAACATTTTCTTTTTTTTCTTACGTCATCTTTCGTGTTTTAAGGAAAAAGATTCCCAGAGCTTGTGCTGAGCCTACTCTCCTGCAGCTTTTTAGAGAACTGGGTACATGTTCGCCTGTATTAACGTCTGATAACATTGATTGCTCATGTAAAGGTTTTAAGTTAATGGTGTGTATCTAATCAGAGTGAGCTTGTTTTTTAACAATCTTCTCCTTATAAGGAATGGAGAAAAATTTGAAGGGGAGTTATGGTTTGTCGCCGCAACCCTTTGGTGAAAAGCATCAAGTCTGTCAACTCGGTGCACCGTTAAGCTGGATTTATAGAGCCACTTATTGCGCATCTGCTTGAATGTGTGACTGCTGTAAAGAGGGTGTGTGTAAGCAAGCGGTCTGTGAGATATTATTTGAGAAAAAGTGGAGGACAGATCAAGCAAATAAGAAGTGCTGCATGTGGGTGTGCTTTAATAGGATATTAGCAGAGCTCTATCAGAGACTTAACATGTCAGGGCAGAAGGTTGCAGAAGCTCCATTCCGTTTACAGCGAATGATTCCTCACTACTGTTCTACTGTTGGCTGTGAGTCGTTAAAGCATATCGTATGCTTGGAGGGAAAAAAAGAGCAAAAAGAAAAATGACTAAACACATTAAATAGGGGTGAATATTGGCATGGGTGTTGCGATACAATGTGTGTCACGACACTTGGGTCACAATACAATATCGTTACGATATTGCAATATATATTGCGATTTTTTTCCCAGTTAGCAAAATTAAATGTAATGATAAAAAATCAAGTGCTGTATATATATATTCATCAGAAGATATTGATCATTTAGTTATTTTGGTGTCCGTGTTGTTTGAGGTTTGAGTCAGTCCACGTCTTCCACTGTGATTGCCGCAACTACAGATATGACACTGCACAACAAAAGGGCACCACAGCATCTGTCAGAGTGGTGGTTCAGAGGTAGCCCCTTTTTCCCTCATTGTTTAAGGTAACAT